TTTGTTTAAAACTATTTCAACCCCAACAGGCAGACCTAATGGCTTTACCTGCCTTTATAGTGAAGCTCCGCACTTAATAAATAAATAAAACATCAGGAAAACATATATAGTCAACTAGCAGAGTACCCGTCCTTCATACAGGATTGGCATATAAGTATAAAATGCTTAGTACATACTCAAGCTTTGCATTTGCAATGAGGGAGGACAAAGTATGATAAAATTTGCTTCTTTAAATTTACGGTATACTATAGTATTACACATCTACCATAGCCATAATGTTCTACCACTTCACCCAAACAATAGAAAATAAATTATTAAAGATTCACAAAATATCACAAATCATTCATGAAACTAAAAACATAAACATAACTGTAAACAATCCTACTTTGACAGTCAGTTCTCATTGCGTATCACAGTTTTTTGTTACTGCTGAGTTCAAATTAGCTGTTTTCAGAAATGAAAAAAATAATAGTGCTGCACTCTGTTGGTAAAATAACTTTTTATGATTTTGGATATCCATAGAACCAACCTTTTTAGTTGAAACAGCTGACTAATTTCTTGAATTCCATTTAAATGTGAGTACTCATAAGGTTAACATGGGAAACTCTAGAGCCACTGCTGCGGACTACTTACAATATTAAAAGTTGATTTTATCTTTAGTTTGTTTATACTGTACAAGTTTTCTTGTGCTCTTATATCTATCATAGGGACTACCAATGTTGTAAACTAATATTAAGAGTTATACATTATTTATTTTTTCATAGATTAATTGAAATAAAATTTGAAAATAAAAAAAATGTTTTATATTTTTATCCTAATTCATTCTTTGTTTATTGTTTGTTTTAGATATATTTATTTTACTCGGTAATTCACAGATTTTTCAATACACCAAAATGATTGTGCTTTAGTTTCAAATAGAAACAACTAGCACGGAACTAAGCTGAGGCCTCAGGGCATAAAAAGGGGATGAAAAATCGGATACAAGGAGGGCAAGGAAGAACAGCTTACAGGGCCACAACCACACTTGGTGCCCCCATTCGCTTTGGAGAAACCACGAGTTCAACAAGACTGTGTAGATATTTAGGATTGTATGAACGAGTATCTTGTCTCGTGTCATCTGCGTATTTGGAATTCCGTAGGCAACTGGTCGACACTGGGATCATAGGCTGTCCATATATTACGTAACATGTTTTTTGTAATTTTTAAAACCCTCCTTCGCCCTCTGGTGATGCTGCATAATACAAGCTTTTTGATGGTTCTAAACTGGACCCAGCTGTTCCTGATCATCGGGCTTTAAATAAACTAGCTATTACCTACCCACGGGGCGTTTGACATCATAAGTATTAATAAAACTATTGATTGGTTAAGTTAACCTGAAATAAACAAAATACAGTAAAAGAAACAAATAATCACACCTGATTTTAATAAGGTAATAAATTGAAAGAATAACAAACAAATAAGTACAGCGGAGGTATTTTTAACATTGAAAAGTTCCCTTTAGAAAGGAATTACGACCTTAAAGGGCAATTTATGATATAATGGATAGTTTTGCTATGATCCTGACTGTAGTAAACGCTGATCTTAGTGAGTAACAAAGCTACACAGATCATCTCACAACATTCTACACTACACCCCTCCTATTGTATTTGCTAGCACCTAGGTGGAGTACAGTACCCATTTCGTTATGGCAATACTGATAATGGTAATCTAACACAACAAAATTAATATTTACTTATCTTATTTGCCATCACATTCACTCAGGGTGACCGAACCATTCTTACATGTATTTATGAATGAAATATGAGAGCTAGGAGTTTGTGTGGTAAGACCACAGATTAAAGAGTAGGGTTTAATCTGTTGAAAGAGGTTTTGTAACTAGAATATCAGTTCCAGATATTCTGGAACTAGTGTTTTCAACCTCTAGGGACCTCAAAACGAAAAAGGAAATTGGTCCCGGGTCCAGATGTTTATGAAACATATACAGTAATTAAAATGAAAACTGATATCAAAAACGTTTTTACCAAAAAGGATGTTTCTTAAATGTTATAATTTTGATACTTTAGAAAGATAGTAGTTTTTTTAGCGTGTTACCGTACGATCTTAAAAAACCCCTACCTCAACTGGTTACTGGGGCTAGGAAAATATTGACTCCACTTTAAATGTACAGAAATAGATTTTCAATTTATATTTGTTTGGGTTTTTGATTCTATATGTTTTATTTTCAATATTTTAATAAATTTATGTTCATAGATTTACATTTGAATGTATAATACGCGAATTAATGAGCTGATGTCACCTGTCTGCTACGTTATCTTATGGGACGTCTGGCGCCAAACAACACGTACTTTTGGCGTTGCCAATTCTACCAGGCCGCGGCCTGGAGTTAAAGGTGGCCGTGATTATACATGTAAATATCATATGTCAAAAATAAAAAAATATCTTTTTCCTACAGTTACCTAACAATGTACATGTTCTCTCACTGATTTGAGAAAGCAAAGTGGCCAATTCGCTCATCAGTCTAATTACTTTGTCTCACTCCAGATTTGCAACGTGAAGGCACGAAATAGTGAGCGCGTAACATGCAGGCAACGTCGTATGCGCGCGAAATACGTTGGCAGCACTGGCTGTAAATCAGCTGGTCAGCTGTTGTACTGTTGTATTTGTCACTTCACATTAAATGTTATATTAAAAGTTCACTTTTGTGTAAAAATAGGTTATGTTTCTTCACCAATTTATTTGTTTTATGGTAACTGTAGGAAAAGTATAATGTGCAACTCGAGTTCAAAGTACAATTGCCTCACTCGAGAAACCAATCCTCACTCGCCTACGGCTCGTGAGTAAGGATTTCTCTCGAGTGAGTCAATTGCTCACTTTTCTCACTAGTTGCACAAATAACTATTGTATTGTGTCTTATATGATTCACACAGTATCAAAAGCCTTAATTACTGAGGTCTCACAAGGTAGCCCCAGCAAAATCACCTCACTCGAAGGGGCTAAAACAATGAAAAAGACTCTCTGCTACTTCAAGAGATTTATTGTACCATTCAGTAATAAATACAATAGGTAACGTCAAAACTATGTTAAAAATAAAACAAACCAATTCATATAAATAATGAAATGTTCACCATTACAAAGCATGCTGAAATTGGTATGCACAGCAAACCATGCAGTTATGGCAAAAAATACAAAACAAAAGAAAATGAAATTGTAACACATACTACAAATTAAAACAATGGCCAGCCTTCAGAGCATCATGCAATTCAACAGATTCATAAAAAGGATTCGTTTCAAGCCAATCTTTTACAATTTTTGTAAATTTTGACTTCCGCAATGACGAACACTTTCCGGGAGAGCTTTGTAATACTTTATGCCTGTAACAGGAAAACAGTTATTAGTTTTACTCAATCTATTGCTACTTAAATGTACATTGTTTCTATTTCTTGTGGAAGTGGACATCCTTGTTACAAACAAGATCTTCTTCCATGTCCCTAATAGCTAACAAAGATTGGTAAATATAGACATTTACAACAGTCATAATGCGAAGTTCAGCGAACAAATGCCTACAATACTCCAGATTGTGAACCTAACGTACTTGGGTAGCCTTTCTTTTGATGGAACAGTACTTTCTGAGCATGCGGGGTGTGACCCCACTGGATATCCACAGGACATCCACCCTGGATAAACTGGACCGGAAAACTGAGAGGCAGACAATAACCCATTGTGATCAAAATATGAACACGACCAACCAAACACAACTAACTGTTTTTAGCGATTTTCCCATATAGGGAATAAGCTATTACCGTAGTACTCATGGTAAGACCTGGACGCGGGACCGATTTTTTTTTTAGTTTTGAGGTCCCTAGAGGCCAAAAACACCATCCGTTCAAATTCATATATATATATATATATATATTTATATATTTATATATTTATATATTTATATATATATATATATATATATATATATATATATGTGTGTCCGTCAGCACGATAACTCGAGCAAAAATGATCCGATTTTGATGAAATTTGGTACAAACGTGTAAACCTACGTTTATTCGAACGAGTTCGCGATCCAGCATGATCGGACCATGAGAACGGGGGTTTACGGGGGGTTTTATGGGGTAAAAATAGGTTTTTCCCATTTTTGACCCAAAAAACATAAAATTTAGCAATTTCTTTCCAAACCATTTTGTAGAGCTTAAAAAAACAAATAATTTAGTATATTGAAGCGTTATTATGCGCCTAATGGTTACGGAGAAAATTCCAAAAAATAGTAAATTTAAAATTCCCATGTTATTCTTATGGAGAATAAGTAAACTGTTGTAGTTTGCTTGTTTATGAACATATTTTGATCAAATTTGGAAAATGTTTTTATTTCTTACTAACTATTAAAATTTTACAAAAAAAAACAGTTTTACCCTCCCTGATGCAGCAAACCTAAGTACAAACCTAAGTACTTGTTAAAATAATTATATTTAAATAGGGAATAAATGTTATATTTTTAAGTAGACATTTCAGTGTAAATCCAATCAGTCAAATGGAAATTTGCTTAGTCTGCAGGTTTGCTGCGGCGGGGGTATTTTGTTTACGCCGTCAATCTATTTATATAGAGTCAACAATATTATTACTCAAGCATAACCATTGACTATATATCACACCTGGCCATCGGGGAGATATTTAATCAATGGCAAACATAAATGTTAATCCACAAGCATGGAAAATATGGAAGGAAGTACTATTCATCATGTACTAAATATTTTTACGTCAGAGATACGTCAGATTTTACATTAGAATGATGATGATAGTTCTAACTGCAGCATGAGAAGCTATAAATCTGGACCTCATATAGTACTTATATTGATTATGATAATGCACGATATCGTTATTTAGAAGCTTCCTGGCCCTTTAACTTCAAACTCAGATGTTTTTATTAGTAAGTTCGTTTTTTCAGTTACCATTTTGAAAACGTCCCACGGCCACTCCACTACTCCCCCCACCCACGGCCACTTCCACTCTTCCACTACTGACTGATCGGTAAGTTAAGTAGGCTCCCAATTTTCAACATTTACTGTATCTGTATTGTTTAGTATTTTAAACGACACGTTAGGAACTATGTAAGTTACATGGCGTATATTTTCTTTTTAAAACAAATTCCTCGTTAATACGTATGTGAACTACTAAAATTATTTAACTTGAAGTTGACATCTGCATTTTCTAGGCCAAGGCTATTCCTGTCAAAAACTTGTCGTGATCCTTAAGGGCTATTCGTCATTAATATAAGGTTGCTCACTGGGATATTAGTACACTTTTCTAGGATAGGCCTATAAATCCAAGCAGGATTTACTGGTATTTTATTGGTAAGTTACTAAACAAGCGAACCTAATATTCAATTCAGGTACACTAATTGGTAGGCCTAGGTAATTTGTCTTAAAAAATTGAAGAAATGGATCTTGACCTGACAACTTTTTAAGTTAATGTCTGTAGAGGTATTCACAAAGTTTATTAGGCTATATTTATTATTTGTGAGATTGTCATACGATGGTTCAGATTCCACTGTCAACCGTAAGTCTCCTAAATGCTGAACTGTCTCTGAAAAATTATCAGCAGTGACAGTCTCCATCCTGCACACCGCTACAGGTTAAGACAGGCTTACAGAGTACTGGAGGCAACTTGTTGTGTCACCTACTCTCACTAGCCTATCAGTTAAATCTTGATAGTTACACAAAATATAATTATTAATTTACTCATACTTCATTAATGTAGTATATTTATGAACATAAATTTCAACCAGCTAAAATAATGCAAGAAAAGGGCTAATTTTTCTCAGGCAACAGTAGCCTAGACATATAGAAAAACAGTAGGTGTCAAATAGTTAGTTGTTCAAGTTTAAAGTTAGTTAGTTTTATAAGATTAAAAGTTAGATAAAACTGAAATAAGTTGAGAGTTTGGTTCACAGTTTTTGTATTTTCATAGTAACAATTATAAGTTCAAAACAATAACAAATGAATTATAACCAGCTGGCATTAAATATATTAATGTAATCCATGCCTTTGGCACACTCCGGGCGAAGGACAAACACTAATAATTCTTTAATTCTAGTGGATATAAGAGATTTAAGGGACGTACAACTTTCTTCTTCGAGCTGAGAATTACTGTAGCACTTCTTATTTTTCTGTCTCGACTTGAGTGAAGTTCTACCATCTTTCGCTTCTTCCATCTCCCACAAGGTGGGATTTTCTTCCAAACGTCCCAAGGTCCTTTCATAGGTGAACTCTCACTTTTAAAAGTAGTGTAAGGTCTTGTAGTAATCTCTTGTAAGGTCTTGTAAAAGTGGCTTGTAGTAATCATGTCGTCTGTTACACATGATTCACTGAAGGATGTGTCAACAAGTGGTCTTGAGTTTATAACTGCCTCAGACTTCACGAGAACAGTTTCCGATTGTAAGTAGTTTATTCCAAAGTCTTTTTCAAATGGGGTTCCTACGATCTTGTTTATGGAGGCATCAGTTAGAATACCTATTTCTTCAGGTCCATTCTCCTCAGTCGGCTCTGCAGGGTTACATTTCCACTCTGGACATTTCATTATAGGCCTAACATTTTCCATTTTTACCTTATCATTAAATCCACACAAAGCTATGGCGTCATCATTCTGATAGGGATAGTCGTGGATTTCTAAATTCTCTATGCTCCGCAAGTTCCTTACATTCAAACCCTTTACTGTCTGAGAGTCAGGCGTTTCAAAGTTCTTCTTCATTTCAAAATGGTTAGTGGGTTGAATTATAGTGTGAAAGGAGGATGAATATCCAAGGTGATGATGAATGTCCGTTTTCTCACTTAATGCTTGTCTACCGCTTACAATCCAACCAACTTTGGAACCGATCAGATAAAGACCAGACTTTAACTCTATTCTTTCATATGTCATAATATCTAGGTAATAATCATTCCCAATTAAAAGATCGACTTCAGGATCTTCATTCTGGTTTTTGGCAAAGTTCAATGAGGGGTAGAGTTTCTTGATTTTACTGACATCAATTGTAGTGCAAGCATGAAGTTTTCCGGTAATTTTTGGTACGACATTACAGTTAACCTTAAGTAAGTTACCATCAAGTAGTTTAATACCGGCAGTAACAGTTTGGGTTTCAATGGTCTTAGCTTCTGTATTACCAAAGGAAAAAACTGATAAAGATTGTGTATTATTGCACTCAAGTTTAAGTTTTTTAGCAAGATCCTTTGAAATATACGACCTCTGACTTCCAGTGTCAAACAGAACTCGAGCAGGTTCGGACAAGTCATCATTCACAACATATACTTTTGCAGTTTGTAAAATTGCATTTTCGTTTGCCGAAATCAGGGAAGTTTCTTTAGAAAAAATAGAGTTAGCAGAAGAGGATTCAGTACTTTTAGTGTTTTGAAGGAATCGTTTGGGACAGAGACTCCTATGATGGTTTGTCCTCTGTTTACAATATACACAAGGTTTGCTTACCTTACAATCTTTTAAGTTGTGGCCACTCTTCAGGCAAATAAAACAGAGACCTTTAACCTTACTTTTTCTTTCTTCTACAGTTTTATACTTCTGGCATTGGTCGTTCCAGTGGGCGTCTTTGCAGAAAATACAGGTTGCAGTTCTGTTTTCGGTCGATGGAAGGGCCTGTGTAGTTGAAAAATTATCTTTTTCTGAGGTACGAAAGTAGTTTCCGTTTTCTGATGGTGGGATGGAAGTTTTTGTTGATCCTAAACCTAATAACAGTTGTGACTTTTCTCTAGCTACGATTATATTTCTTACTATACTACATAATTTAGTGGCATCAAGAGTATTATCTACGTTGTTTTCTTCTACTTTTATAACTATATCCAGAGGAAGTTTCCTCATAATCAGAGAAAAAAAGAAATTTGAGTTGGTATCTTCGCCTAAGTTTTGTAGACACCTGATGTGTTTGTCAATAACATCGAATAAGTTCCTAAGTTTTCCAGTGTCGTTCGATTTTAAGGGACTTAAGTCCATCAAGGCTTTGTAATGCGAATTGATTATGAGTTGTTTGTTAGCAAATCTTTCTTGGAGTAAAGAAATGGCAACGTCATAATTGTCAGCAGTTAATTGTAGACCAGCAATGCATAGTTTGGCCTCTCCATGCAAAAGGGAGTTAAGGTAATTGAATTTATCTACTTTATTTAAATATTGCTGACTGTGAATGGCAGAGTTGTACGAGTCCCAGAACTCTTGCCATTTAAGAATGTTACCTTCAAACATGGGAAGGATTAGTTTAGGCAGTTGTACTAAACTGCGTGGATTTTCCAACACTCGCTCGGACGAAAGACCATTTGAATTATTGGCATGATCATTGATAGCTTTCGTGTTGAAGGCTTCTAGTCTTACCTTCAAGGTTGATATTACTTGCTCACTGTCAAGTACGATACCAAAAAGGTCCTCGGCGTCGTCGGTACCCTCCACAGTTGCCGACCCGTTGGCTGTGTCTAAGTCAATCTGTTCCATCAAGGCTTCTAGGCGAGCTGAATAGTTTTGCAGAGTTGCCAGCGTCGCTAGTAGCGCGTTCCTCGAAGGGTCCTCGGCGTTAAGCAGTGTAGTCGCCTCTGCAAGGGTAGACTTCACACGTGCCGTGAGAGTGGCAGCCTTCTTCCTTAGTCGAGTCGTCATGTTCAAAGTTCAGTTGAAGTTGGACAGTACAAATAAGTGAAATAAATATCAGTTACAGGTGGATCGTTGCAGCTCTGCTACCATGTCAAATAGTTAGTTGTTCAAGTTTAAAGTTAGTTAGTTTTATAAGATTAAAAGTTAGATAAAACTGAAATAAGTTGAGAGTTTGGTTCACAGTTTTTGTATTTTCATAGTAACAATTATAAGTTCAAAACAATAACAAATTAATTATAACCAGCTGGCATTAAATATATTAATGTAATCCATGCCTTTGGCACAGTAGGCCTATACCGGTAGCTTAAAAAAGGTTGTAAATATGTAGAGAAGGTAGAGAGATAGGCCTACCTATTTTGTAGATTCCCATACCGTATATGAATTCCTCAATATTCTTCTAATACAACAGCATCTTAGATTTTGACCCACACAAGACAAATTAGTCAAATATTATTATCATGGAAATATGAATGTTTTCAAATGCATTTTTTGGTAGGTAGCCTATGAACCCATAACTTAATGATCGCATGAAATTCATATCAACAAATAATAACTAACAAAGACTATTTGAGAATTTTTTCAAAATTTTTAAAGCGTCATATAAAAAATAAATTAAGTTTAACTTTTAATTTGGAATTTGAAAAAAAATTATTGTGACCTAGGCCTATATTTTTAGAAAGGGCTTACAAAATGACACCTCATCCATCTTTCTAGCTTGGTTCTGAGAGATGCTAGAGTAGTTTAAAGTTTCATTAATGGGTCGTTTTTGAGCGTTTTTTGTAAACTTTTAAGGATGCGTAATTTTGAAACTGTAGTTAGTTGAGATATTAGGTTGAAATTTGGTATTTTTCTTAGTCTCCATTGGATGTACTTACCAGTATACCAAATTTCATCAAAAGCTAAGATGGTGAGGTGAAGATCGCACCACTGTTATGTTAAGCTACACCACTTTTTTACCTCTTTAAAACCATCGTGTGTGAACCTGGCAATAACTCAGCAATAAGTAGTGCGGGCGCTTGTAAAAATCCATGGCTTGCCGTTTTGCAGAAAAATACTTACTCTTACAGCATATTATGTTGTAATACGGCCACGCAGTGTAATACCTTTGTAATACCCATATACAGTAGACCCCCTCTTAACCGACCTCGTATTAACCGATAATCGGATTATCCGCCTTCGATCGTAAAATAATACAGTTTGTTTTAACCGACCTTGCTTTGAGAGCAGCTCGTTTTAACCGCCGCTTTCTAGGAATCTCGGCATTTCCGCTCCCACGCTGGGCGATGAGAGCCGAACCATACGCTTATCTCCACAGGATATGACTAAGAATAAGTTATTTTGTGTTGCTCACAAAAAATATAGCACAGCCTATTGTCAGTTTGTCATCATCGTTCGTAGCTCGAGCGCATCTGATCTGTTTGTTGTCTGTGCGGCAAATGTACCAACATAATAAAGTGTGTTACGATTTTGAGAACTGATTATCTTATCACTGGAGTAAACAAACAACGCAACTTGTAGGGAGGGCAGGGAAGGGGGGTTAACAGCTCCAAGGTCAAGATAGTTTTTGTGCCTCGAGCCTCCAGTGAGAGGCAATAAATAAACGTCCTGTCTTGTAACAAAATGGTTGCTTGTATCTTTAATTTTGACAAAAGGTTCTGTACCGTATTACGATGGATTTGTAAAGCATCAATTAATAAATCTATATCTATAAAAGAGGATGTTTGTATATATACTTGTTTGTTTGTTTGTTTGGGGGTGATAAACTCGGACACCGCTGAACCGATTGCCACGAAACTTGGTACATACGTGTAGAATGTCATGGAATAGGTTTATACACCATCAATTTCGTGATCCGTCCAATAGGCTCCGCCCCAGTGGCTCTGGAGTTTCCCATGTTAACCTTATGAGAAATGGAATTAATGAATCTTAACAGCTGTTTCAATTAAACAAGTTGGTTCTGTTCTATGATGTTCAATAGCATTAAAGTTACAAGGATTACCAACAGGGTGCAGCACTATTATTTCTTTTACATTTATGACAACAGCTAATTTGCAACCAAAAAGGTGAGTGAGCGTAGCGAACGAGCTAACCTGAAGGCAAGTGAGCGTAGCGAACGAGCTCCAACCTAAAGGTGAGTGAGCGTAGCGAACGAACTTCAACCAGGACGTGATTGAGCCATGCGAACGAGATCATCTTGAAAATTAAGAAGTTAAACGGGGCAAAGCCCGCGGGTTACAGCTAGTTACAGTACTAAAGTTATTAAAATAGGAATTTTATTGACTCTTGCCTAGTATTATAATATATTCCACTGAAAGTAGGCCTATTTGACTTAACCGTGTTTTGTGTTTATTTGTGACTTTTCTATCAATAGGAAAAAGGAGATAAGAGTAGTTTACTTGATAAATAATGCAATTATGATTTCAAAATAATGATTATATAATTCCAAATGAATAGCACTTCATTATGTTATGATTTTAGGGATTGTCCGTTTTATCCGACCTTTTGAGTTATCCGACCTAGGTTTGGTCCCATTAGGGTCGGTTAAGAGGGGGTCTACTGTAGTCATGTAATAAAGGACATGTTCACGCACATGATTATCAAGGTCATATAGGTACCAGGAACAAATGGTGGTCATACAAAAGAGGCGTAAATTGAAAAACCACTCATGTTAAAATCTATGGCCGGCCGTTTCTTAGGAAAATTAGGCCGCGTAGCGTAATACCATATAGTCACGAGATACTTAAGGACACTTTACGCACATGACAGTATCAAGGTCATATACCAGGAACAAATAGTGGTCGTACAAAAGGGGCGTAAACTGAAAAACGCAATTGGTCATTTCAGTGTAATGGTTTGTTAATAGTTTTTGTAAAATTAAATTCTAGCCTCTGTAACTTAATGTTAATATACCGAATCAAAATCAATATAGGCCTAAGTTATATCAATATTTAATCTGATAATAACTTATAAAACATGATCTCTGCAGAACTATTACCTACCCCAAGGCTGTACTAAAGATGTCAATAAGTTAGATTTAATTGCGATGTAACTTATTGGATGGGAGGCTGCAGATTCATTAATTTCCTAAAACAGTTTCAATGGAGCTAAACTTGTCCTATCATCTAATCATAACTTGAATCATAATCATGTATGAATCATAACATAACCAGTCAGTTGATCTGAAGTGTCGACGTTATATTAAGGTTAGAAATTTTTCATTAAGATATATAGAGTTTTCAATTTTTTCTTTAATTCAATATTTGACTGGGAAGGGTGTAACGATCTTTAGGACTTAAGAATTTTTTTTCTTTGACTTGTTAACAAATCACTTTCACTTCCGGTTGAGCCTGTACGTGTTGATTGTGAATATTGTACAATAGTAACTTAAGTGTTTGCCACCACACACCATTTATTTTTATCTTAGAACTGCTAAGCTAATACCTATGCATGTTTTTTTGTAGGCCTAGCAAATAGACTAATTGGATATATTTTATTGCAATTTTCTTGTACATTTGAAACAAAATGTGGTATTAATTCTTTATATTAAAAATTGTGACTTTTGCAGATTTAATAAAAAAAAATGGAAGAAGACACTGAATACTTGAAGTTGAATATAGAAGACAGATGTGTACACAAGGTAGGCCAACAAATAACATTTACTTAAGTTAAACCTTGTAACTCTCAACATTAATTATCAGCTCATGATTAATTGGAACAGCTGTAGCCATAGCCAGTCCTTTACTTAAAGAAAGCGTAGTAAAACAATTTATTTTAAGAATAGGTTGCCCTATCTTTATCAGTGTCGTTAAATTTAATATTGTTGTTTTTAATGTTGTGTAAAGGCTACATCCCTTATAGACAGTTTATTTTTGACATTTTGAAATAAAGAGTATTTTATTTACATTTGAAGAATTTATTCCTGTTTGCATTAAAAATAAATTGTTTAATTACTATTACCACTGTTTGCTTGTAAGACTAACTTGTCTGCATCTATAAATTTATGTTGTTGCTATTGTAAAAATGGTTTTTACCATTGAAAATGAATGAATAAATAAATAAATGGTGATCACACCCTAGGGCCTAAGTTTAATGGGAAACCATTTGAATTACAGTAGACCCCCTCTTATCGGGCCATCGGCATTAACTGATCAATCGGATAATCCACCCTCGATCGTAAAATATTAGTTTTGTTTGAACCGACCTTGCTTTGAGAGCAGTTTGGTTTAACCACCGCTTTCTAGGAATCTCGTCATTTCCGCTCCCACGCTCGGCGATGAGAACCATACGCTTATCTCCACAGGATGTGACTGCTATTTTTGTAATAGGTATAATCTAGAATTATCTTATGGCTAGAGTAAACAAACAACACAACTTGTTGGGAGGGCAGGGGAGGGGGGTTAACTACTCCAAGGTTGTAGCCTCCAGTGAGAGGCTAAAAATAAACATCCTGTCTCGTAACAAAATGGTTGCATGTAACTTACCTTTAATTTCGACAAAAAGTTCTGTAGGTACTGTACTACGATAGACTTTTAAGCAGAGTTATTAAAATAATAATTTTTATTGACTCTTGTCTACAACTATTATTTTTACACAGAAAATATTTTACTTTACTGTGTTTTGCGTTTATTTACATGTAATTCTTCTGTCAATGTGAAAAAGAAGTGTAGTTTATTTCATTAATAATGCAAGTAGGACTTGAACAATAAAGGTTATATGTAGCCTAATTCCAATAGAATAGAATTTTGTTTTGTTATTTTTTTGGGGATTGCCCGTTTTAACCTACCTGTAGACTTATCCGACCTAGGTCCAGTCCCATTAGGGTTGGTTAAGAGGGGGTCTACTGTAGTAGGCCTGTTATTGCTTTGTAAACGGATGTATGGTAACACTTTTAGAAATACTTTTAGAGTAGGCTACAGTGTGTTGTATGTTGCACAGTAAGAAAGTAACTTGTGTCTTCCCACAAATTTTCAGGCGTGGAAAGCCAGAGTCAATGGTTACGAAGAGGCGAAAAAACTTTTTAACCAAATAGCGGATGAAAAATCACCAGAATGGAACAAGTTCTTAGGTCTGTTAAAGAAGATGGTTGTCGACAGCAATGCTCTCGCTCAAGAAAAGGGTTTGGAAGCTGTTCTAGCCTATGTTGAAAACAGTGCTGTGGCGGGAAAGTAAGTAATGATTTTATTTTAATACAGTTTCTTTACAAAATCTGGTGTTAGGTATTTTTGTGTACATTGTGTGTTTGAAAGAACTATTGCGGATATTTTCCATCATGATAAGTGAAAAACAATTTTTTACAACAATTTAAGGAAAACCCTGAATCCTGCCCACAGGGGAGAAAGTAGGTACCCAAGACATTTAACAAAAGTAAAAACAAACCCAGCTAAAGTTGGAAAATCGCATGGAATAACCATACATATAACTGTATAGTAGTCAGAATGAATAGCATGCAAAAAACCAAATGAATTCTGAAACAATACAATAGGTTAGAACAAATGTGGGTATGAACAAAATGGGCCAACTTCACAAGGCTGGCTTAACCAAGACTGAGCTCACGTTTCCGACCGGTAACTTAGTGACTGTATGGAAGCGTTTGTGACGGGAATCAGAAACCGGAATAGTTTCCCTCAACGCCGTGAAAACTTATATTTTTCCTAGTGTTCGTAATAACCTCTTAAACGTGATAAACCCAATTTCACCAATAGCCTAATAAATTTCAAACAGAGGCTAAGGCTATCTAATCATAATGAGTGCTGAATAACTAGGTCTATAAGCTACGTTTCTGTGTGTATTAGGCCTAGTGGGTATTTGGGGGTTACTATAATGTAGCCTACTTGTAGAAGATTTTCGTCAAATCATCTGGAAGGTTCAAAATTTTCTTCACAAATTTTGAGAATTAGTCCTGTTTTAAGACATTTCCCTTCAATTTTAAAATTTTCAAACAAAGAATCAACATTCCATAATTGGTTTAACATAATTTTTGTATCAGTATTTTTCAAACAGGGGTTAGAATTTTTATCTAAATGAATTTAAGAATTAGTACTTGTTAGTACCGGTACTTAACGATTTACCTGGCACAAGCTATTTATAAAATTGCTGATTTAAATAAACTGTTGGTATTGGCTCATTAAATATTAATCCAGCAATCAATACCTATCGAGGATTAAGTACTAAATGCACAAAAACGTTTTAATACACCTTAAATGAATCTCAGATTAATTATCGGTTTATAAATTAATTTGATAGGTACTGGGATGGTTTTTGATGTTTTCTTGCAGAGTTGAGACAAGGCCCCATTAGAAAAACAGGCCATGCTGCAGCGCGGGTAGCGCAACACTACGTCACAGTGGTGGATAGTTGTACTTTTAATCTTGCTGTTAAAATCTTACAAACAGCAAGCTTTAACTTGGGATATGGCAGTGAATCTATCCACCAGTGTGACGTCATGGTTATGCAGCATGGCCGGTTTTTCTAATGGGGCCTTGATTGAGGATGTTATTGATGTTTACTTGCGTAGTTGAAGAACAACTTGTGTCGAGTGGCGATAACAGTTTTTTTAATCACTTGCAATATTGTCTACAGGACTGTAGGAGATGTAATGTCTGGGCTAGTGGCTAAATGCATCGGAGCTCCTAAAGCCAAGACCAAGGAACTGGCTGGACAAATAGCACTCATGTACGTAGAGATCGAGAAGCATGAAGTAGTTCTGGAAGAACTGCTCAAGGGAACGGAACAGAAGAATCCGAAAATTGTCACAGGCTGCATTAGCATTATCATCCAAGGTCTGAAGTAAGTACAAGGTTCAGAAAAAGTAACGATCCAATAACACAGGGTGAGGCAGTGAGAGCACCCCAATTTTCTTTCGTTGTCACACTATAAGTAAAGCAACAATGAATGAATAGCTGTGCTTATAACATCAATTAAACTATGCCATTTTCATTATGGTGTGGGTAGCCTCCGGATTGCGAATAATAACTATGATAGTGGTTTAAATACCTTATTCATGCAATCCAATTGTTGTCTCCACAACTAGTTTCAACCTGCTAGGAGGTCATCATCAGGTGAGTACAAGGATGAATTACTTCATATGAAGGTCGTCAGTAACAGTTTTTTTTTTACATTTACACAAACACACGACGAATAATAAACACATAGTGCGCACACATATACGGCCGATATGGAACCGACGAGCGATAAGAAAATGCGCGTGATGCTTGACCAGCTGTTTACCCTACAGTCTAGACGCAACTTTCGCATTCTCAACACGGGTCCGCTTGTCAAGTTCAATGTTTTTATCGGCCGTATATGTGTGCGCACTATGTGTTTATTATTCGTCGTGTGTTTGTGTAAATGTAAAACAAAAACTGTTACTGACGACCTTCATATGAAGTAATTCATCCTTGTACTCACCTGATGATGACCTCCTAGCAGGTTGAAACTAGTTGTGGAGACAACAATTGGATTGCATGAATAAGGTATTTAAACCACTATCATAGTATGCCATTTTAGTAAACATTATGCCTGAGGCTATTAGAACTGAGATTTCGATCTGGAAACCTATTTTTGAAATAGGTTAGGAGTTAAGGAAAGGCCAATTGGCTGATTAGGATTATTATGTACAAGGATAGGGATCAGCTAGCTTACCTGGTAGATAGAGTCCAGATTAGCCTTGATTACACATAAAACACGCGTCAAACACTCATCAAAGATGTGATGACCATGGCAAGAAGCCTTAGACTCAAGAATCATTTTGCCAATCAAAATCTTCCGACACCAGACTCGACCACTATGACATCGCTTAATAAATTCAAACCACCATCTGACTTTGACCCGCCCCCGTTACCACCGGACCACCCAATAGAACAGTTTATCAATCTCATAGTCCAAAACATATCAGATCCTTCCTTTGAGAAATCAGTCCAAGAGGCTGCCCAACCCAACCTAACCTTGGATGAAAAGCAAGCCTTGCGAGATCTGAAGAACAATAAAGACATTGTGATTCTACCAGCCGACAAAGGTTCCACAACCGTAGTCATGAACAAGACAGATTATGTTGCAGAAATTGATCGTCAACTTTCAGACTCCACAACCTATCAACTGTTGAATGAAAACCCTACAGAACGCTATAACTCGGAACTTCAAGACCTCATCAAACGGAATGCCTCTCTGAACCAGCTTACCCCAGAAACGGTCAGACTGCTAACGCCAGAAAACCCATCCACCCCAAAATTATATATTCTCCCCAAAATACACAAAGATACCTTCCCACCACCAGGTAGACCAATTGTCTCAGGATGCGGTTCTCCCACAGAAAGAATTTCGGCTTATGTGGACACCTATCTCCAGCCTATAGTACAAAATCTCCCATCATATATCAAAGACACAACAGACTTCCTTCTTAGACTTTCTTCAGTTACAAACAAGCTCACACCTAACTCCATCCTAGCTACAATAGATGTCACATCCCTGTATACCAATATCCCCCACGCCCACGGACTTGCTGCAGTTGAACATTACCTTGACAAAAGAACTAAAGGTGAACTCCCTAAGACTTCCTTTATCATCAGCCTCACCAAATTCATCCTTGAAAAGAATAATTTTCAATTCCTGGACCGCCACTACTTGCAGATAAAAGGGACTGCCATGGGTACCAGGATGGCCCCCTCATACGCCAACTTGTTTATGGGAAAACTTGAAAATGACTTTCTGCAAAAACAGACTCTACAACCAACTTGTTGGTTCAGATACATAGACGACATCTTTGTCATTTGGCCCCATGGAGAAAATAGCCTCAACCATTTTTTAAATAGCCTAAACACTTTCTCAACATTGAAATTCACTTGGGAATTATCTGAAACTGCGGTTCACTTTCTTGACGTCATGGTGGAACTGAAAAATGGCTCAATCTCCACATCTGTCTACACCAAACCCACCAACCACCAACAGTACCTACACTACAACAGCTGCCATCCCAACAACACCAAACGCTCCCTACCCTACAGTCTTGCCTTAAGAGGGAAACGAATAAACTCCGACAAGAAGAATCTGATAACTTACAACAAACAACTCCAAACTGCTTTTGAAAATAGAGGATACCCGACACAAACAGTCTCTTCGCAAATAAAAGCGGCCCAAAATGCTACCGACAATCCACCTAAGAAAACCAAAACCACCTACGATGTCAACCTGGTGACTACTTACCACCCAGGCCTCAACAGGCTCAATAACCTTTTGAGAACCGGCTACAACATGCTTCGAAGCTCCACCCAGACCAAAGATCTCTTCCAAAAACCCCCCACCATAGTCTACAGACAACCTGCCAATCTAAAAACCATCCTAGTCCATCCCAAGTTACCCGACCCGTCCGTTGAACCACCTCCAAGACTGCCCCCAGGTTCCTACCCATGCAATGAAACCAAATGCAAGACCTGTGGCATCAACATTCCTGCAGAAACCTTCACCAGCACATCGTACAACAAAGAGTACAAAATAAAAGACCACATAACATGCAATAGCGAAAACCTGATCTACCAACTACAATGCAAACTCTGTCAAGCTCAATATATAGGCCTAACCACCCAAACTCTTAGGAAAAGGATGAATGGACATAGACAGGATGTTAAAACAAACAAATACAAACCCATTGCAATACATGCAGCAAACCACAACTTAGACTTTGATACATGTTTCACGACAAAAGCCATAAAATCCCTCCCCAAAGACCAATGTAACAGCTCCCTACTCATAAGGTGGGAACTAGCCTACCAATACATCACTGATTCCAGAAACCCTCCTAACCTTAACATTAGATAATTCACCCAACCATTCCCTCAGCTAGCTTCATTTTTATAAAAATCAACCACCATATGTATATATAGAAGTATATGTGTATATAGATGTACATAACAACAGTAATTTTAAACAACAGTTGGCAACACTATTGTGGAACTTTTGAATTTGAACTGTAACTGCCAGTTTTCTTTCTTCTCCCTTCTGATGAAGTCCCTAACTGGGACGAAATATTAAGTTTTTCTGTGTTGTGTCATGTGTTTTATGTGTAATCAAGGCTAATCTGGACTCTATCTACCAGGTAAGCTAGCTGATCCCTATCCTTGTACATAATAATCCTATTTTTGAAATAGTGATTCTTGTGCAAATACCCAGATATTGTTTGTAATTTAATAATATATAAACACTTTGCGCTAGTTTGTTCATATTTTTCATTGGAGTTTCAGTTTTTATTTTTAGAGATACCTAACATGCATATTTAGGAAGTTCTATGAATGAAGATGGTTTGAATTTCGAGTTGAATTATACAGGGTGAGTTTTAATTGCCCCCCCCCCCCCCCCAACTTTTTTCTACATTTTTTCAAATATCAATCCCAGAACACTTCCAAACATTGTTGGGTAGTAAGTACTTCATTTTGACAAGGTGGTCATTTACGTCCTGTTAAAATTCACCTCACACTGCATGTAGATAACCTTTATAGTGTAGCTGCACAGTGCACACATTATTTTTTTAAGCCAATCATGCTTCAGATTGAGAAATCTCCAATCGCAGTTTGGTTGAAAACACCAAACATCACTTTACAATATTAGCCTTTGGTGCGTAATTGTTGGTATAAATTGTCATTTCAATTTTCAGGGAATTTGGAATAAAAGTTATCACCATCAAACCGATTTTGAAACGTTTGCCCCAGTTGATTGAAGACAGGGACAAAACAGTACGAGAAGAAACCAAAGCGCTCGTTGTGGAAATGTATCGATGGATCGGAGCCGCTCTGAATCCTCAGCTTACGTTCCTCAAACCCATCCAGGTATTATTTAAAATTCTGATATTTTCTGTGTTAACGCAGGCCATCTTTTTATTTTTATCTATTAACGTACCTTTCCTTTTTTTCTTTTTTATGGAACTGGAAGGTATATCTGTTGTAGTGACATTCTTAACAACCAAGTAAGTTGATGATTCTGTTAAGATTGAAATTGTTTTGTCTTCACAGATGACGGAACTTAAGCCTGATTTCGACAAAGTGAGCGGACAAAAGGCAGCGCCAACTAGATATCTTCGCTCGCAACAAGCCAAACAATCTAAGATTGCGGCTGAGACAGCTGAAGCTGATGACGGTGTGTATTATCAATGTTAGATTAAACAGGCGATGGTGTTTTGAGGAAAAAGTTATTATTCTGATTATTGAGGATTTAGTAAGTGTCTTTGTTTGTTAAATCAAATATAACAATCTATCTAATCATTGAATGTTGATTCAAATTAATTTTGACATTATGTATTGTCTATTATAATTTTATTTCTGTGCAATGAAAAATTTTATTATAAAACAATATTTGATTGTAGACATTTTATGTCCTTACTTCAACCTGAACACAAAACATAAAAACTTAATTGATAAATATAGTTTAAAGCTAAATTGGAGTAACATAGCGTACTCTATTGGAATTTTATTACGTTTCTTTTTAATTTTATAAGGTTATTCATTGTATTTTTTTAAATTTTAGTTGACCTTGGTTGTTTCAAATGTTGAAAAATGCTCTAAATAAAGGTAGTTTTTTATTCTTTAGGAGAAGAAGGAGACGAGTGTGATGACGGAGGCGCTGGCGATGTAGACCCTTACGAGCTCATGATAGCCGTGGACATTCTCTCCCGACTGCCGAAAGATTTCTACGAGAAAGTGGAGGCCAAGAAGTGGCAGGAACGGAAGGAAGCGGTGGATGCCTTGGACCAGCTGTTACAAGGAGGCCCCAAACTGGAGAACGGCGACTACGGCGAGCTAGTACGAACTTTGAAAAAGGTAATGTAGAATGTGATTACATTTTAATTACTTACCATTGTGTAGAATGTGAAGTTTTTATGAATCAAAACAATCACATATTGTAGATTTGTAATCTTAGTGTGACGATCTTGCAAAACTGAGTACACACTACTCACCAACAATTTGGCCTCGATGTAGACTGTAATCACAAGGGTGACTTTTCACTGGTCATTGCCAAGTCAAGTTAAAGACGATCGACACTCGATACACATCGAAACACAAAGACACTCGAAATCTAGGCTGCAACGTGAATGTTTTTCATAGATTTGGACACAGTTGTCATTTGATGGCTTCTTTATTTTTGTTGTCATCATACTTAGGCCTAATAAGTGTTTCCTAAAGACCAAAACCAAAGTCTCGCATATTGGGTCAAGAAAGTCCCGTTTCATCCCACTTCAGCATAGGCTAATATCCTGTTTTATCCTGCGTGTAATTTCTGGTTATAACCTGGGCGATCTTTTTACATACCATGTTTAAATAGTACTTTAAACCTTGCTGTGCTGTAATGCGGTTTATAAAATAATTAAATAATTTTAAGTTGGTTTTTTATCTTGAAAAGTATAAAAAAGATAAATGGGGCAGAGTCAATACCTACTTTATTACACATCTAATTTTTATTCCCACACATGGTCTAAAATCTTGTTTACAATAGTATATTACGTTACTAGTCCTGAAAATAAGAGTTTGTACGTGTGTGGTCGTTCCTGTGCGAGACTAAGTCGAGATTACCATACGAGTCCGGTACACACATTTTGGACGATTTATGTACAATAGGTTATGCCATACTACTAAATCTGTACAAATCTTTATATATTTCTACCAACTAAAGGACTAAAAATCACTAGTCATAACCTCGTTTTTGTTTTTAACCATTCATTGCCACCTAAATACAGTATAATCAGGTGATTGGTGTCCGGTAAAACTCATTACAGTACAGTAGTACGCAATGAAACCCCATGTGAATAAGCTGGCGGCAAACAGCTGTTTTCTGGACAAAATCCTTGCATGGGAAGTTCGTCAAAATAATGTAGTGTGGCGTAAAAATTATTATCTTGTACAAAAATCTGTAAGTCAATTTTCTTTTTTCATATGTAGAAATTAGAAGGCTAGGATTACAAGTATTCTTATAGAAACACTGCACTTAATATTGCATGTTTGAGAAAGGATATGAAATTGACCAAAGTTGTTGAGTGCAAGACTGTAAATAGCATTTAAGGTTCTATTTTAAAGAAAAGCCAGGTGGCTGGTCATGTTTTTTTATAAAAGGAAAGAGTTTGCCAGCTTACCTGATATAATAAGAGCCCAAGGGACAATATAAGGTCACAAATTAACACTGATATATTACCCTCATATAGCATGTCTTCAGAGAATAAGGGAATTGTAGAAAATTTACTTTCACAACCTTATGTTTACGTTAAGTAATATATTATTAAATTTGTTTTCTAGATGATAACGAAGGACAGTAACGTGGTTATAGTCGCTTTAGCTACCAAGTGTTTGGCCACCATTGCCACAGGGCTGAAAAAGAGGTTTCAACCTTACGCAGTCGCCTGCATCTCCGGACTGTTGGAGAAGTTCAAAGAGAAGAAGCAGAACGTGGTCGTTGCTTTGAGAGAAGCAGTTGACGCGATCTATGTTAGCGTAAGTTGCAACAAGAGTTAGATAATTATTATCTATACTGCAATTTTTTTGATGCCAGGGTTTTTTCTTATAAGTTTCTAGCAGCGACTTCAGTTTTCAATTCTGTACTGTACGAATAGCTGTAATTGGAGGTACAAGTTTCTCTCAACTTCCAACTATTTAGTTAAGAAAAAGAAATAAAAAAATTTGTATTTCTTTTAACTTTTTTTTTTTGCTGCTCTAATCATTGTTTTTGGTAATCGTGGTCTCTGATCTAGAATGTTCTTGTATTAATATAATAGGTTTGTACTGTTTGTAGGTTTTTTTATTTGATTGTAGATTCTGAAACAAAAAAAAAAGTTTTGCTAGTCGATCATGGAAAATGTCAACAATAATTTTTTACAAGGCACCCACAAAAAAATCTTAAAACAAAGGAACCTCGAGTTTTGTTAACTATGAATAAAACTGGATTATGACAACAAGACCTATGAATTTAATTTTCCAGTTTTAGTGGGGATCCTGTGTTAAAGTAAACTTACCAACCACATTACACTAGTGGAACAAACCAAAGATTTTCACTACTATAACTTTGCAGACCACACTTGAAGCCATTCAAGATGATGTGTTGGCAGCTCTGGAGAATAAGAACCCTTCGGTGAAGGCGGAGACAGCGGTTTTCCTGGCCCGCTGCTTCACAAAGTGCACCCCTGTGGTTCTCAACAAGAAACTCCTTAAAGCTTTCAGCGCTGTTCTGCTCAAGACTCTTAACGAATCTGGTAAACAATTTAAATTATTTGATAATTTGAATCAGGTTACATTACCAACTTACACATAACATTCCACAGATTTTCCAAGATATAAGGTCTTACAACACTCCAACTCAAAATTTAGTTATTTTTGTTACCCTAGCTATTTTTGTAGAGCAATGAGCTATCTTCAGGGAGAGGTTCTTTGCCAGCCGATTTAATGAGTGGGGTTGTTTCTTATCTGAGCTTATTATGATTTTGTATTTTCTTTATTTATGTCTAGAGAGATGAGAGCGTGTCCCTACAATAATAAGTCAAGAGTTTATGCTGTAACAATTAAATATTTATTCAACAAATTTATTAAATCTAACATTCAGTCTTATTAAATGATTATCACAGTGATCTTTCTCACTAACAATTCGCAAATATTTAACAATTCATAAATATTTAACTTGAAATTGAAAAAAAATCTACTTTAAATTATATCACAAAATATTAATGACTCAAGAATTCCCTAACTCGCAATAATGTAACCCCTGAGAAAGAAATTGAATTTTGTTAATAAAGAAAACCTAATCTGTAGTTTAAGTTGCCAACTTTCAGCTCTTACCAACTCCAGCACAAAGCCGAGTGTAGTGTTTGCCGAATGTAGCTTTGAGGACTCTACTCTTCCAGCTAAAAAGCCGAGTTAACAAGAGAGAAGTCTTCTCTCTTTCAAAAATCCCGCCCTGCCATGATACCGGAGTACGTACCGCGCAGAAAAAACTATATGACGTAATGTGATTGTTTTACTTCCTCTCACTCAATTCTCAAACCGGGCCGGGTACCGATGTCTGTCAAATGTCATGTCCTGGAGGTTATGTTAGTGATGATTGTAAATAGGCATCCGTATAAAGTTATTCTTAATATGAATTTAAACAATCTTACAGTAATTAAAACAAATCACAGCTATAGGATAATTTAAATAAAAGAATGATTAGTCGGAGTCTAATTTAATTACGGCCTTTGATGAAAGTAAAAGTTGTATCGGCAGACGTTATGATATCGAAACGGTAAGTGTACGTATTGTAGGTTATCTCAACTTAGTCAATAATGAAATTTGACTTAAATCTGCTATTAATTAGAGAGGTATTTATTAGAATTTTATTTATTATTACCTTGAAATTACAAAGCGTCAAGAGGATCGGTGTTTATTGCAACTGTGCAACAACCTAGGCTATTTGGAATAACGTCTTTCATTGGTTATTGTTTGAGCCTATTAGAAAGCTTGATAGTAATCTAAATTTGGTTGATTGAGTAGGCCTATTATATTATTATTACGGCGGTAAATTTTGGTAACGTCGTAATTGTCCCCTCAATTTTGTGACGAAGCTAATTGTTATTGCGAGTTTCACAAAATTCTAGTATCACAGAAAATTTTTAAAAATTTAGATAAATCAGTCTTGAAATGAGCAAAAAATAAAATAACTAATAGGAACATGAAATCTTACAACTAATAATACATAACAGTCTTTAGGTTGGAGTCTTGAAGAGTCCTCTAAAACTCCAGGGTGAAATCCTCTTCTAATTCCATCTCCAGGACGTCCTCCTCAGGATGGGCTCTAGGCGGGCTGAAGATGCTGGTCACCGGATCAATCCTTTGAATGGGCTCCTGGACCTTCATCTCGTGCAGGATGCGCAGCACCTCCCGGTCGCTGGAGTCTTCAGTTGGGGGTCCCTTTGGTGGTATGTCGCAAGGATGCAAGACATACTTCCGGGCGACGATAGGGTAGCCCAGCACCCTCTCCATTTCTGTAAGCCTCTTCTTGGCTTGGACATCGGCGTACTTAGTGATGTCCGCCTCCTCAGATAGCTGCTCGCACCGTCTACCGAGCACCTCTCGCTGCTTCTGAGCCTCCAGCTTCCTGTTGTTGATCTCCAGGAGATTCGCTAGTTTCGTTCTCGGCTTGACGCCTGAAGCAAGCTGCACTCGTCTCGGGTCGTCAAGTGGGAGCTTGGCCAGCCACTTTCGGAAGGCTTCGTGGTGACGCTTTCCTCCTTTCTTTGGAATGTAGAAACTAGCTGCTGCCATCATCTGTTTTGCAAATTCAAAAGAAGATTAGTGTTGTGTTCATAATAATACATTTCATAAAGTTTTTTTTTTATTATTCATTATTTTATATGTATTTTTTTTTATTTGGCTTTTATTGTTATTGTTTTCTGTTAGGATTATATGTTATTTTAAATGATTTTGTTTTAATTATTTTATTTTTATTTTTTGTGTGTTTTATTATTATTTTTTTTTACTACCCTCATCCTCCTTTGTATCTTTTGCAGGTTTTGTTTTTTAAAAATATTTCTTCAGACTTTCTGTGTGATATGGACCCTTTATATTTAAACCATTCAAGTCACTTAAAATGTAAGTTGATTTTCCAATCTTTTGATGGATTTTGTATGGACCTTCAAAAATTTGGCAAAGGCTCTTTGTTTCACCTAATATTGCTCTAGATATCGGTGCAGCTTTTAACAAAACCTTCTCTCCCACTTCAAATTCCGTTATCTTGTGTTGCGTATTCAATTTTCTAGCTCTGTTTTCTTTCTTCCTTTCGGCTCTAGTTTTTGCTAACTCTAGCTTAACTACCCAATTCTGGTCATCTTCTCTATGTAACCCTAAGACATTGCTCCAAAATCTAACATTCCTTTTATTTAGATGCAGTTCGTTTGGGGTGAAACCTGTAGTTTCGTTTCGTACTTCATTTAGAAACTCATTAATTATGCTGATGTACTCAGGCCAAGTTTTCTGATTATTGTGGCAATAACTTCTTAAGCATCGCTTTGTCTCTTTTATTATACGCTCTGCTAAGTTGGGTTGTGGATGTCTAATTGGGGAAAACACTGGAGTAATGCCTTCTACCTTTAATTTGTTTAGCCAGAGCTTGCTATGAAACTGTGTAGCATTGTCACTTTGTATTTTCTTTGGTTTTCCATAATTAGGGACGTATTCTAAAAATATTTTGTTTAGTGCAATCTGACTAGTTGCTCTTTTAGTAGGAAATAGTTTAGTAAATTTAGTAAACACATCAACTACAACAAACACATATTGTAAGCCAGATCTTCCCATTGGTAAAGGTCCTAGAAAGTCTACGGCCAAAAGTTCGTTCTTTTCAGTCACACTGACACCACTTGTTTCTCCAAAGTTAGTTTTATTATTTGGCTTGCATTTTTGGCATGTTTCACATCGCTTTAATATAACTCTGATTTTCCTGGTCATATTCTTGAATATAAAGCTCTCATTTAAGATTTGGTAACACTTCTGAGGACCACAATGTAAATAATAAAAGTGACAACTCCATATCAAACTTTCTACTAACACTTCTGGTATTACAACCTTCCATACATCATTGTTGTTTTTCTTTAGTAAAAGTCCATCTTCTATTTCATAATTTAACAAAGGTTTTGGTAAAACTTCACCATCCTTCTCTCTTAACTTTTGTTGTATTATGTTGTTATATTGTGGGTCCAAATGTTGATGTTCTTTTAAATTTTCTAAGTCTAACATGGTTTGAGTATTTGCTTGTCTTTTCACAGTTGCAACCACTATTTTTGGTTCATCATCACCATTTCTTTCCTGTGACATATCACTTTTACAGTAGCGGCTTAAAGAATCTGCCACTATATTATCTTTACCCGGACATCCCTCTATTGTGTATTGGTATTCTTGTAAAGCAAGGACCCATCTAGTTAATCGTGAATTGAGCAATTTGCAAGTTTTTATGAAAGTTAGTGCCTTATGGTCGGTTATTATGCGCACCTTAGCTCCCATCACAATCTGTCTGGTCTTCTGAAGACAGAAAAGTATGGATAGAAACTCCTTTTCAGTTGTAAATAAGTTTAGCTCATGTCCCCTCAGAACTCGACTCAAGAAAGCGATAGCCCCTTTTGTTCCATCGTCCTTTATTTGATATAGGTGTCCACCAATAGCTTTATCCGATGCATCACATTGTAATATAAATTCTTTATTCAAATCTGGGTGAATTAAGGTATTTGTTTTTAAGAAAAGTTCCTTAGTGTTTTCAAAAGCTTCCTGTTCTTTACTTGTCCAAATAAATTTATTTTTCTTTGATGTTAGGGCCAGAAGTGGTTGTAATGTTTCTGAATACTTCTCAACGAATCTGTTATAATAATTTATTGTGCCTAAGAATCCTCTGAGTTCTTTCTGATTTCTTGGTGTTCTTAAATTTAAAATTGCTTCAGTTTTTCTTGGGTCTGCCTCCAATCCTTCACCTGTTACTATATATCCTAGAAATGGGACTTTATCTCTACAGAACAATGATTTTTCAAATTTTATTGTCATGTTAGCTCCCTTCAGCTTAAGGAAAATAGTTTCTAAGTGCTTTAAATGAGTTTCAAAATCAGGTGAGTAGCAAAGAATGTCATCTGCGTAAACCATGGTAAAATCATCTACCTCATCGTCAAATACGAAACTTAGAGCACGAACCAAAGCCGCAGAAGAAGTATTCAAACCGAATGGAGTAACACAGTACTGGTAAGTTTTACCCATAAATTGAAATGCTGTATACTTTCTTGATTCTAGTGCTAGCTCAATTTGCCAAAATGCACTAGACAGATCTAAAGTGGTTAACCATTTTGTTTTTCTTCCTTTGAATAACAGTTCGTTTATGCCTCTATTACATTCATAGTCTGGGGTAATAATTTCATTTATTCTCCTAGCATCTAAACATACTCTCACTTCTCCAGATTTTTTCATAACTGGTACAATGGGATTTATATATGGACTATCACATCTTTCTATGATTCCATCTCCTTCCATTCTAGCTACTTCCTTTTTCACAGAATCTAGATATTTGTATGGGATTGGGTAAGTTTGTTGCTTAAATGCTTTGTCATGTTTCACCTTAATCTCGTGTTTATATTTTGTGCAACGGCCAGGTTGGTCGGAAAATACTTCATTGTACTTTGAAAACAGTTCGGTTAACTTGTCTTTCTGTTCACTTGTTAAGTTTTCCTGAGTATTTATACTTGTCATCATGATTTCGTTATTGTTAGCTGTGTTTTTCTTAGTTTCTATTTCATCCCAATCTTTGTGAAGATTGTCATTGTTATGTATTACTTTGCACTCAATAACTTTACTACTGACCTCCTCTAAGTTTACCGATATGCTTTGATTCCCATGGTAAATTGAGATCTTATTTCTTCCAAAGTCAAGGTTCATATTCAACTCTTTGATTGTATCCATTCCCAGTATAATTTCTCTTATTAGTCTTGGTATTACCAAACATTGGAGCATAACAGTTGTATTTAAAATTGTGGCTTCAAGTAAAACTATTTTATTTATACGTTTACTTTTCTGACCTGTAGCAGTAGTAATATTTACGTTTGTTAGAGGTAATTGACCTATTATACTAATCTTATCTTGATTTGCTTCCAACCATTCAGTTTGCACACAAGTTACGTTACTACCAGAGTCAATCAGTGCATTAATTTCTATGTTCTGTAATTTCAATTTTATTTCAGGACATCTTACAATTTTACTATTTAAATTTTCAGGGACTTCTAAACCTCCTGTTAATAGAAATTCTCTATCACAATATACATTTCCTATTAATATTTTTTCAAAGTTAGTATTCTTTATGTCTGGTTCTTTTCCAGTTTTTATTTGAATTTCGGGCGGTGTGGTTATGTTGTGCACCGA